GGAGTGGAAGCAGAAACAGCAGCAGCAGAGGTAGCAGTGGCAACTATGCACATTTACTAATTGACTAGGTTCTCCAGTGCCAAATAGTTTAAATGTTAAGGTAAATTATTTGAATTAGTAATGTGACCCACTGATTTCCATACATGGTTTTCACTTGTTTATAGCTGTCCTATAAAGAATCACTATGTTTCATTTAGTGACAAGAAACCCGAGGCTTAGCAAGGGTTAAATTTTACTGAAGCTACAGAGTCTTTAATTAGGATCTATGCCTGTGTCTGTCTACTTTATTTCAGGCATGCATTCCTTTCATAGCACCATCCATCACGGTGATGCAGATTAAGGAGATTTTCAGTGTGGAAGAGTAAGATTGCTAGGATCTCCTATTTCAAAGATACAGAAAGGAGCAGCAAACCTCTCTAGCTAGTCAAATACCAAGCTGGTGAGAGTAAGGCACAGAAGGATCTCAAAATCACAAGTGCATTGAAAGTATGAGATATGTCATAAAGTAGTTAAATACAAGGCAATTTAGTGGCAAATTGTGATAAAATATTTTTGAGATATTGTGAGAAAATATTTATGAATGTTCTACGTTAATTTTAGATATTTCAAAATATAATGTAGTACACTTAAATACGCAAGTTGAATGGTATTTAACACTAGAACACTCTGTATAAAGGTTTAAAAAAGAGAATTAACAGCAATGGTTTTGAAATTATATGGGTGGGCTAGAATGAAAAATGGGTTAAAAATCAGGGAGATTCATTTTCAGTAAATTGTAGACCAACATAAAACCATGGATGTTGACTTAACAACAGTAACAACCATACGGTCATGTTCATACTGTCTCCTGTGTGCTATGTACTTTCAGAGACCATAAGTAATTCCTTTAATTCCCACAATCTCTGTAAACAGGTTCTTCTGTAATTTACATTGTAAGGATGAAGAACTGGGGTAGAGAGGTCAGGTAATGTAACCAGAGCCACTCACATCTAGGAAAAAAGCAGGAACTCCAAACTCTACAATCTACCACAGTGTCTACATTCAACTACTTCATAGAAGCAGTTTAAGGGTCTGAGAAAGCATAATGTGGAGCTGGGTATCAAATCTAGAAGCCACTTAGGGAAGAAGAAGTAGAACTTTATAAAGCAAAAAAAAAAAAAAAAGAAAAAAAGAAAAATTTAAACATATGGTATAAAGTCTAGAAATAATAATAGTCTCAAAAGGATACTAAAGTAACCATGCTCTTGCATAAAAGAATCTTTTGTGCCTACAGAGGCACACAATAAGGTAATAATTGGTTTGCCTCTTTTATGCACTATTTTGATTTTATAAATATAATGAGGATATCATTTTTTCTGTTAAGTGGGAGAACATACAGGTACTTGCTAGTATTTAATTATATACTATACCTTATATGCAATTCAGGAGCATTTTTTAGGAACCTTTTTTTAAAATTTTTTTTTTATTTTTTAGGAATCTTAAACCAACTACTTATATGATTTATTTTTTTAGATCCAACTAAGAAAAATTTATATATTAGGATTTCATATGATTTATTAGATTTTAATAATAAATGATAAATAATAAAAATTAGAGATTAATGTCAAATAAATATTGAAAGGTAGGCCAATATTCTCTAAGACATTCACATACAGAATTAAAAATATCACATTAATGAGTCCCCCCAACCTTTGTCTTTCATTTCTTTCTGAGACAACGTCCCAATATGGTCCCTACATGGCCTTGAATTCATTATATAGGGCCGTGAACTTATTACATAGTTGGCTTGGAACTTAGGGAGATCTACTTGCATTTTTCTTTTGCCTTTTTTGTGGTGGCATATACTCTTAGTCCCAGCACACACAGCTAATTTTAACTTATATTTCCTTCATTTATTTGACTCTAGAAAGATTTTTCCCTCGACCATGTATAAGTTAAACAGTACAGATATGCAGCCAGTTGTCTTTTATTTCTATATAAGAGGGTACCCTTTATTAGACTGCATACAGTGTTAAACTGGTCCAAGTAAAATGGACATTTAGTTTCTCAATGTTCATCAAACATCTCTGTTAGTATTTCTGGGAAGAGTGATATGTCAGATTCTGAATTCAACTCCTCTTAAAAAGAAAATAGACATTTAGGCATAAGGCATAAGCAAGTTAGTACCCAGACTTTATACTTTAACTCCTTTGGGTCTTTACTCAAATGTCATCTCTCTTAGTACAGTCTTTTCTGATAACCAAAAATAAACTGTCACTCCCAACCCTCTAAATCCCACTTCATATTTCCTTTATTCCTTTTTCCCTACTGCATTTTTTTCTAATATTGACCACACTCTAGTATGTTGTTTATTTTACTTTTAATTGTCTGTTTTACCACTCAAGTATAAATTCCATGAGGACAGTAATTCCAAGCTATAAACAGAGCCAGGCATGATGTACATGTTCAATAAATATTTTATGAATGAACAAATGAAGTCCAAGAGATATGATGCTATTCCAAAAATGGTTAAGAATCCAAAGCTATAAAAATTTCAAAAGGGCAATGTATTCAAGTGTACAAACTATACCTTTTATTCAGCTGTAACTCAAAAGCACACAGGCATGATGGCTTTATGTGACCAATATATAAACTAATTTTTAAACTTAATGGTAAAGACAGATTAGACTTACATAACAAGACTAGTTCATTTAAAATAAGATTTTTAATAAATGAATAAAAGGAAGAAAGAAAACAACAAGCAGATAAAGAAGTGATCTTGGTACACATTATAAAAACCAGTTCTGTAAAACAGGTGGCAGTATGCACATATTTCACCAGGACCTACAAAGAGCAAATTCTCTAATTTCAACATGAATAAAGAATGTTAAAAATGGAAACAAACCTTTTTTCCTGGTAAATTTTTAAAAGAAATTATAAAGTGTAGAAAATTATAAAGATCAGCATATCAAGTCCACTAAAAAACAAGCTGTTATTAAGAATTTTAGAAATGCTTTCAGATATAGTACAAAATTGTTCAGAAGCTAAAACTAATGGATTCAATCTCTTTTTTTTTTCTTATTAATTGCAAGGAACACAATAAAACAAGAAGTGGTTATCTGAAAATGGCTTTATCTATGCTCCAAAAGCAGAAAGAAGTTCTAATAATGGGGTGGGTAAATAAATATTTTTAAGATGCAAGAAACATAGGATTAAACTGTAACTTCAGAGTCTGCTGATCTGACTGTTATCATAAAAAGCACTTGTTCACCTCCAAAATCCAAGAAACAGTGCTACAAGAACAGGCCTTTTAGCTGGGCTGAGGAGAACACAAACACACTAAATGGATGGATTCTCAGTAGACATGTCAATCAACCAGACACATACAGCAGTTAAGCAACAATCCTACTTGCAGGATAAAATATAATTTTATAAAAAAACAAAACAAAACCTATTAATTCGAAAATAGTTTCTAAAACAAAGACCTATTACAGTAATAGGTCAAAATAACTGATTTATATTTAATGTAACCAGCAAAAGGGAAACAAGTTTAATATGTAAGTAGAAAGAAGCTAGAATATTATTGGTTACACTGTATATCTAAATATTACTTTTACCCAAAGAAATATTAATGACTCAGTAGAGCTTACATATCAATGAAATGTTACATGAAAACTTGTTTTTAGAATCTCTCAGAAGTCTCACCAGCTTGTTCTATCTTAAATTCATAATTACTTAGATTAACAGTCCTCGAATATAGACAGAGGAAGAGGACATGATGGTCTAAGCAACGCCTCCATCTAAAAGCTATAAACAGGTAGCCCACATGAACTCTTGAGATTCTTGACAAAAATGAAACAAACATTAAAGCTTTAGAAAACAGAAAAACCAGACATCAATAATTCAGAGAACAGAAGATGAAGCTATCAGATTTAAAATTTAAAAATAAAAGAATCTGAGAATTTTATTAAAATTAGAGTTACTATGGGACAATCTATATTGACAGTAAAAATAACTGCAATTTTAGAACATATCAGTGAGAACTGACACAGCCATTATCTCCCAGCAACCAGGGTATCTAGATGTCCTAGACTGCCTTTGTGCTTGAAGAACATTTAAGAGTAGCAGCCAAAATGACTAAATCTTAATTTGGGTATTAAAGCATTGATTTGATGGGCTTTTCTTGTTCACAATTGCCCATAAGCTTAAGAAATAAGAGCCAAAGCTACCAATGGGAGCTATGCTTAATTTGGTGGGCCTTTAGGCTGTTTCTGGTCAGATCAGCCTCAGCCCGAGGGAGGCCAGGTCCCAGTCAGTTCATTCTCATTCCTGGGAAAGAGAGAACAGGTAGCACTTGTGTCCATCGAAGGGGACACTGTCCAGGTACACCCTGGACATGTTTTTGAAATCTCTGGGCTGCTTCTGCATCTGAAAAATAAGAAAAATAGCACAATGACAGACAACGAATGAGGAAAAAAAGACAACCATCTGGCCTAAAACCACACGGCATAAGGTAGAAAGAGAGAAGACAAAAGAAACAAAAAGATAAATAGCTATAATAGTTGGAATATATTACTTTGGAGGCAAGTACAACACAGAAAACACAAATTATTTTAAGCAAAGAAAAGACCACAGTAATAAAAGTTATTTTTAGAGAGACAAACAGAGGTGGGGAAAAAGGTATGTTAAGACATGTGAATCTCGAAAAAAACAAAAAAGACATGTGAATCTGATACAAAGATAAGGCAGACCAGGAAGCCAGACGCATGCGCAAGCTGAGATCAGCACTGGTACCACGGACTTGTGTAACTGCCTATGTGTAAGTAATATCTCAGAACTTTGAATTTAGGAAATTCCAACTTCTCTTGCACCAAGTCATGAGCTCCACAGAACTATTTCAACAAGCAGCTTACAAATAAAAACGAGACCAGTATTTTTCACTTCTACTAAAGGCATACTTAAGAATGCAATCGTGCTAAAATCCACCAAAGAAAAACTCACTTAATAAATATTACACTTACTCAGAAAGACGTTCAGAAGTTGGGATACAAACAGAAACTGAAATCAGAAGAAAAGTTTCATATTTACATAAGCATATGAACAGTGATTAGTGAAATAAAATGACTTAGTAAAGAACCCATATTTTGGCTTTCTAAAAATAATAATAAATACAAAATATCTGAAACAGCAGTTATGTATACATACCTTTCTCTACTAGAACTTGGCACGTATGAGTTTCATGCTGACTTAAGTGTGTAGCCATATTATCTAAGCCAGAAACATCAGTTAGGAAATCACAATTAAGGCACACTAGAGAAATGCCCCTTTAAAAAAAAAAAAAAAAAAGAAAAGAAAGAAAGAATAGGTTTTTATTTTTATGAAACTATACATAGGTTCAATACTATTTTTTCATGTTTTATTTTTTTTGGTGATATAACTTACCACTTTGCTATATAAGTTTGAAAATGGCATAACCATGTCCAAATTATGTACATAAAATATTCATGTTTCAAAGATAAGGGAAGAGCTTAGAGGTATAGCACAACCTAGAATACTCAAAGTCTTCAGCTCATTCCCAGTACTTCCTCCCTGAAAAGTAATAATGTTTTAAGAATATTCACTCCTTGTATCAGTTGAAAAAAACCTAGGAGTCAAACACTGGTCTTGGCTCTGCTATGAGTTTGTACTGATGTAGATAAGCCACAATGTTCCTTGGCCATAAAAAAGTGAGGATATAGCATTCATTCACTTAATATATATTGAATATAAGGCTCTCTTTATATACCATACTGCTAGGTGTTATGAATATAAATGGTGAACAAAAAAAGTATAGTTCACATTCCAATGGAATTTACAATCTAGGCTTTTAGTCAAAGATAAAAATCAGAACAATGTAAAGGCTCCGAAGATGGATCCCATGACAACCACTATCAAGTACACGCTATGTGTTAAGGTTCTCATCACAACTGGAGCTATCTTCACTAAATGCTGAATTACATAAAATAGCTAATAAGATGCTGGAATATACACGGCCAGAATATCTCAACAAGGCAGCATCATTAACAAGTCTCCCTGCCTGTCTCCAGGCGATAAACTACTCTTTCCCAAAGCTTGAATGCAGCAGTTCTTAAATGAAATATGGATAATTACAAATTTTAGAATTATAACCAAATTTCTTGATTTTGAAAGTATGGAGGTTTCAAATGTTACACTTGGGACTTTAAATAGGGAAAGTTCATATGCTGAAGAAAAAGTAAAGAAAACTCAGGGCCAGAGAAAGCAAGATGTCAGTACGTCAAACTAAAGAAGACTAAAGTTGGTTCCACACGATTTTGTTTCTCTTATTAGTTCTGGCTGAAATTCTCTGAGGGGACTGTAGGATTCTTTAGAATCTCTTTAATAAATTATTTTGCTTAGAGTAAAAAATGATCATGCAATGTGAGCATTGTCAGTTTAACAACAAAATACGCATGTCTTAAGTTCATCACAGCATGTTCTATAAATATGGGAAATTAGCCTGGCATGGTGGTGCAAGCCTTTAATTCCAGCCCTCAAGAGACAGAGGCAGGTGGATTTGCATTCAAGGTCAGTGTGGTCTTCAGAGCAAGTTCTAAGACAGCCATCACTACATAGAAAACCCTGTCTTGGAAAACAAACAAACAAAAATTTAAAGTAAAAAAAATGTGAAACTAGGGGCAGGAGAGATAGCTCAGCAAAAGTACTGGTTACTCTTCTGGAGGATCTAGATTCAACACCTAACTCCCATAATGGAGGCTCACAACCTTCTATAAAACCAGTTTCAAAGGAGCAGACATGATCTTCCTTATCTGCTAGCATCAGGCATGAAACATGGTACATATATGACATAAAAGAGGGTAAAACATCCGTATACATAATAAAGTATTAATTTTTTTTGGATGTAAAAATAGGTTATCTCATACTATCTCCCCGAAACTCTAACATACTGTGTATTTCTATCTACAGGCCGTAATAGTAAAACAAACTAAAAGTTCCCAAATTAGTTTCCTCTTGGCTAGTCTTTTTTAAGTTCATTTTACTTGATTCTGAGGCTCCAACTAGTCTCTAATTCTCTGCTTTCTTAAAACAGTTGCTGTTAAGCACTTCACAATATTAGAAGTAGTATTGAACAGATGGTTTCAAACGTATCTCACTATCTCACCTAAATTCTAGAATAACTGAAAGTAGATGCTATAATTAGCATCCTTTTAGCTAGAATTAGCTTAATTTATACTAAAGACAAAGCTTGTAAGGGTCAGACAGAATTAGATGAGAAATAAACTCAGTGCATTAATTTAAATTCTTGCAAGATTAGTCCTAACTACTTGACAGTTCCAAGCTATGTGGCTGATTGACCTACAACTTACCTCATATACAGCTGAACACAACCTCCTTCAGTATTTTAGTAAGAAAAGAGTATATAGTAATGTAAAGCATTCCAGTGGCTTAAACGTACTTCAAAACTGAAGTAGATTTATGGATATTTTCTGCAGGTATAGCATTAGCTATGCAGAGCTGCTGACCTATGTTCAAACCCCAGAACCAACTTCTGAAAGTTGTCCTCTGCAATCTATATATGTGCTGTAGCATGGGGGCACATGTATGCACATGAGCATACACACAATAATACATAATAAAAAAACACCTTTATAACATTATTTACATTCCTACAGATCATAGAAGACTCTGCAGCATTCAAATATGGGAAAGTTTTATTTTTGTTCTCATTTTACAACAGTCATGTACTTTATCTGGGCACCAACTGTTACTACTACAATGAATGTACTATGAGTACGATGACACACCTCTGATATACAGTTATAGTAAGACAACCCTATAATATCTAGTCACAAGCAACAAACTGACACACTGGCATTATGTTAACTAAAAAAGTTACAGCAAACCACAATGACAAAGCATTTTGTATCTGTCAGAATGTCTATCATATCACTTCTTAGGCTTTTTGCCTAAGATCAAGTATAAATTGCCTGTAATAAAAAAAATAAGTAACAGGTGCTAGAAGAGATACAGAAATTCTTACACAGTACTAGTGAGTATGTAAAATAGTGGCACTATGATGAAAAATTTCTCAAAGGCTTAGCAGGGAGCTAGAATACAACCCAGCAAACTTCATCTTAATTACACACAAAAGAGTATGTTTATTTAAAAAAAAATAATGTTCATAGCGGCGTTTTTATTTTGACCTCAAAATTAATGAAATGGATAAACTATAGTATTTTTATAAAGTAAAAAATATTATTCATCAATTTAAGTAAGTACTGATACATCATGGATGAACCATTGGCAATGACTAATGAACACATAGAATATCATTTCATTTATATACAAAATACCCAAAATGGGCTAGTCTATATGAATACACATTTATAGTTGCTTGTATATGGGTGGGGGAGGGGGTGAAAGGAAATGAGAATGATTACTAATAAATGGAATTTTTTAAAGTACTGAAAATGTACACATACGATGATGACTGATATACAACTGAACATACGAAAATTTATCAAGATTACATTTTAAACACATGAAGAACATGGCATGTATAATGGTTAGTCTTGATTATTAATTAAAGGGATTTAAGAAACAAACCTCCCCCATGTCTGAGTTAGTTTCTAGGCTAACTGAGCAGGGAAGACCCACTCTAAATGTAGGTATACAATTCCATTTTATATTCTCTTGGAGAGAATATAAAAAAAAAAAAAAGAAAGAGCTAAGTGACAGCATTCATCTGCTCTGCTTCCTGAGTACAGACACGAGGCAACCAGGCACCTCAGTCTCCCACCACCTGATCTCCCAACCACAACAGAGTACTCTTGAATTGAGCCAAAATAAACTCTTCCTTCCTTATGGTACATGTCAGTTACTTATAGCAACAGAAAAAGTAACTAACATAGTATGTGCATTCTACTTCAATAAAGGTAACACATAAGAAAAAATATAAATTACAATCATTGTTCAACAGAAAGATTTTGCAAAAATCACTCGTTTACCTGAGATTTTCTGAATGCTTCTTAAATATACAATATCTTTTACTTGGACGGTTACTATGAAAGCTGAAAAGATAAAAATGGTATGTATTTATTACAGTACTTTTACTGGACACCAAGTCACACTGATTTATAAAAACATTTAAAGTCTATACTTAAGTTTATTTTTTAAAGAAACTATTACGATGAGAATACTCTCATTTCTATTTAACTCATTATAAAACCTCCACTTTCCTTTCAAAATGGGACCTCTATATATTGCTCTCAAAAAACAGGCCAAAGAGGTCTCCCACTTCAACCTGTGAGTAGCTGGAACTAAAGGTATGTACCACCATATGTGACTGTATCCTTGTATTGTTTTGTTTTAAATTTTTATTTTATGTATATTAGCATTTTGTCTATATGTATGTCTGTAAACCAATGTGTGTGCATTGTATGCATGGTGCTGTTTACATGTTTAAAGTCAAATATTTCAATACAAATGTTTGAGATTACCAGCAGCAGTTTTAAAACAAAATGAAAACAATAACTCCTAAATTAAAACAATGTCTCCCTCAGCACAGAAAAGGTCACATACTACACTTTTAGCCATATGATCATAGGTTGTGTACTCCTTTTTAACTCTGCCTTATATTAGAAAGCCAGGGCTTGGTTAGCGCAGTTCTTTCTAAAAGGGAAGTCACGCACAACTGCACTTGCATCACCTGAGAATGTATTTAGAAATGTCAAGTTTCAGATTACTACAAACCTACTGAAAATATTTCTGGCAGTGGGGCTGCATAATGCAAGCCCAGGTAAATTATTACATATAACACAGGCTGCATATTCAGAAAAATGAATATTATGGCTAGCTGCAAATTAAGAAACTACTCTGCAAAGATTTCATATTCTCAGGAGTTCCAATGTTATTCTTCAACTTGAGTGAAAGTATTACTAAATAATTAATCTGTATACATATAATCATATCACAAGAACAAAGTTTTTCCAATCAAAAAGAAGTTGAGAAGACTCAAAATTATTTGCATATATAATTGTTTCCTTTGAAGAATGAGTCTAAGACGGTCTGATTCATAAAATACATGAATCAAATGCTACCTAAAAAATAAAATTTAAAAATTATTTTTCTTCAGACAAGAATACTGTATTTGCTTTATTACTTATTAAAAAAGTAAAATTAAAATTATACTTTAAGGTCTATCTGATGACTTTCTTTTTTTATTACAATTTATTTTTTCTCAAATCGTAATTCATTCACACAGGGGTTATAAACACAGAAAGGCAGGATGTGGGGAAGGGAATGACACTGGAGTGTGGGTGTTCAGGGGGAGTACAGATATCTTCAGAACCGAGTATCGGCTGGGTGAAGGTTCAGGGGACAAGTCACTATGACTCTGCCTATGACTCACTTGTCCTTATCTAAGTTGGTATTGTCTGCCCAGGCTACCTATTTACAAGGTATATGACTACTCAGGCTTATAAATTTCCACAAAAGCTGCCTATTTACATTAGCTTATAGCCATCTGTTTCAATGTTTTTCCACTGAGACCCAAGACTTGCTGTTAGTATACATGTATGACAGGCCTATTGCTGATTTTAGGCCTACGGCTGATTTTAGGCCTTCAGTGTGTAAGCAGGGCTGCCCCTGACATCTCCTCCCTTCTCTAAGTATAGAAGGGCTGTGGCAATTCTAAACTTGTGAAGGCAGGGATAGAGGCCTGACCTCCAGTATTTGAAGGGGACCAATGTCCAGTTGTCCAGTGAGGCATGAGGGCCATACCTGTCCCAATGTCTTTTTCCTGGAGAGAGGATACTTTTGACATCAACCCCTATGCAGTCAGGCTTGTCCCTCAGGGAATCCAGATAGATATTTTTATCTTTTATTTATATTCCCTTGCAGTGCTTAGCCTTGCAGCCTAAGCAAGAATTCAGATCGCCTGTCAGAGGGGGTTCTGGGTGGTCCCTCTCTGCTTGATCTAGGGGCAGAAGTCCCCCCTTTTAGGTTGGGTGGAGATGGGTTTTGGAAACGCCCTGTATAAAGTAACAACCTCATCTTGAGTCTTGTGGTCCTCCATAGCTAACTTATGATAATGTATCTGAGTAGGTTTTGCTACCAATTATTTATCTGTTGTATCACAGAGTTAGTCCGCCTATTTGAGGGCCAGGGACCAGCAGAAAAAAGCAAAAAGAACCCAAATAATGGTCCCAGGATGGGAGGAAATAGGGTTGACAACCTTGGAGAGGCTGAAAACCAATTCTTGTACCAGCATTCATCTGTCTCTCTCTCTGATTTTTCTTAGGGCCTTCACTATCTATTTCATGCTCTCTTTAACCCTCCTTGTCTTGTCTATGTAAAGGCAACCTTCTTCTTTAAGGGCTGTACACAGTCAAGAGCTGTACACAGCCTTTTCTATTGTAATAGAGTAAATCAAGTCCCATAAGGATCTTTAAGGTCTGAGTAGTATAAGTTTGGAGGCCAGCATCTGAACTTCTAACAGCAGACATCATGGGTGATTCATTTTTACCTGGGATGCTGCCTGAGTTAAAGCTCCTGGGAGTCCCTCTTTCTCTCGGTTTTCTGGGGTTGGGTACGGAGCTGCCGCCTGTGACCTGCTCTATGCTCGGGCCTGATGACTTTCAAATATATCTAAAATTTGCATCATTAAGATATTGAAATCAACTTAATTTATCTGATCTCTAGTTATAAATAAAAGAATTTATACTGCCTCTGTATTATCTAGATTTGAAGCACAAATTCCACAATTTTTCATATTTAAAAAAAGGGAGAGAAAGCCATAGGTGATGACACACACCTGTGATTCTAGTATTGGGAGGCTGAGACATGAGAATTTTAAATTGTAGCCATCTGGGCTACACAGTGAAACACCTGTCACAAATAAAAGGTTTAAACAAACAAACAAACAAAAGGAAAACATGCTGAGAAAAAAAGAAATCAGGCATGGAAATAATCTTCCTAACATAAGCCTTAAAGAAATATACAAAGCCTCCGTGGAATTCCCATAACAAAGGGGATCAAAGGCCCCTCTGATAAAAACTGTAAAACATAACAAGTTGAGGAAGAAACCTGAAAACTGCATACTAATAAAGTGGAAAAATTAATATTGTGAAATTGTTATTTTCCCAAAAGAAATATACATATTCAATTCAATCCCAATAAAGATTTCAATACCATTCTTCGGAGAAACAAGGGGGAAAAAAAAAACCATATTAAGTTACACTTGAAAGCACCAGTGAGCTCAGATAGTCAAATAATCCTCAACAAAAATAAGAAGACTGACTATATCACCCACACTCCTGTGAATAACCTTAGTAAAATTCCCTAGTACGTAAGACATGCACATGCAATGTGGACATGTGCACAAACACACATACAAATATAAACACACAATAAAGTTTACATTATAAAGTGAGATTGGTATGAATCTCCTATACATTCCAGAATTGAACATAATAGGGGAAAAGGGGAAAGGAGAAAGGGTCCAAATGTTATGTTGGCCTTTGTGTCAAGTGAACATGACTAGAGTAAATAGAAAACACAACAGAATTAAAAAACGACAAGGAGGATACAGTGATAATAGTTGCTCAACATCATAGACTAGTAGGCATTCAAAGAAATGAAGCGTAGGCATGCATTCAGATGGTCCTATTAGCTAAGAACGGGGAATTAAACATTAATGTAAGTGCTAGAACTATGTATGACAGGTACCAGGAGCCCAGGATAGTGATTAAGGACAGAAAATTGAGAAAGTACTGAAGCTACCTAAAAAGGTGGGATGACCTTTGAAAGCAGTATCTGGCAATAATCAAAAAGCAACATGAAAAGCCAGGATATGATCTATGACCTAAAAGAAACTTAGCTATATATGAATCCTATTTAAAAGAACAAAAACAAAACAACCAACCAGACAAACCCCACCAGGGCATCATTCTGAGTAAGAAATCTATCAGGATCATTTAAATGAAGACAACTTGGACTATTCTTTAAAAATGAAAATCCATGGTGCTTGTTTCTTTCTAGAGGACTCAGGCTCAGTTCCCAGCACCCAAATTGGTAGCTAACAACTGCCTAGAGCTCTAGCTCCAGAGGATTCAACGCCCTCTTCCGATCTCCGCAGACACCCATATATATATGTGGCATTCACTGAGACAGACAGACAGACAGACATATATAAATAAAAAAAATCTTAAAAGATATAGTTTTTAAAAATCTACTCTTGAAGAATAACATGTTCAACAAGATCACCACCACCACCAACAACGAATAACAGTAATAATAATATCCACACGTGGCTCATGAGAATCACTCTATCATTAGAGCAAATGATGGGTACCCAACGCAAATGGCATTACGACATTCACTGAATAGATATAAGCACATATAGCTTTAGATCTGGGCAGACAGATGACTGAGAAATAGATGGATTACAGAGAAAGATGCGGGAATGGGAAACAAAACCAATAAAGTTCCTAGCATCACCGAAAATCCTCAAGTCTCTCTGACTGATTTGAAGAGAATGACAGTCATAAGAATACACAAATTTGTCAGTTAAATATATTTAAAATATTTAAATTTCTATTTGAAAATAACCATTTTCAGGGAAAAATAAATCCAAAAGAATAATTACTCCTCTAACAAATTTATTTTAATTTCATTGGCTTAATTAACCATTTCATACAGTAATTTCTTGATTTGTTTTGTTATAACAGAAAACAAGGCTTCTAATACAATTTGTTTTCAAAACAAAAGCTTCAATTGTAATTATAATAGGCAAAACACTGAGCTCATCTTACCTCATCATATGATTTACATAGGCTTTGCTACAGCTAGTATTATATCTGCAAAAACTGCAGTGAACATATGTAGGAAAATGGTTTGCAAAATCTTTTACTTCAGAAGAACACTCAATACACTCGTGAACACCCCGACGTAACCTTGTGAAGACATAAAAAAGATATTTTGAAACAAAAATAGTCAAGAGAGGGATATTATTAAATATCATGTTGCTATACTTGAGTTTAAACTGGGAATATGTATCAGAAGTAAGGCATTACCTTATGTTCCTTAGTGCTGTGTTTACTTTACTTTTTTTATTACTATTAGACAATGTGCTTTGTTTCTTCTGCATGCTGGCGACTTTTGACCTGTTTTTAGATTTACTCCCATTAGACTTGACCTCATTAGCTTTACTGGGATCAGATATGGTTGCATTTGGTGTACTTGTATTCAACTTCTCATGATTTTTAGCAGTTATATTTTCAGTCCTTGGAGGTGAGAGCTGGAGGGTAGAAGTGCTTGCACTGATAGAAGGTGTAACTGAAGAACCTGATTGAAGAGGTGCAACTGAAGCTCGAATAGTAACCTTTAAAAATGAAGAAAAAATTTTTCCTTCAAAAAATTAATCATGATATAAAATAAGTGGAATATTAAGTGTTTTTAAGAAGCACAAATAAAGTAACTGGGTATAGTCATCTATTTGCTTTAAACATTCAACCAATTAAATGAATTAGCTCACTTTTATATCAATTAATATCATAATTAATTGTTGGTTAACATTGTTATTAATAAGATTAATAGAAATTACATGAATATAAGATCACATTTCAGTTATATTTATGCTCTGATATGATTAAAAGTTATTCCCACAGAGCCCAAATCATAGTAATAAAGACTAAAAAAAGTAAACTAAAAAGGCCTGTTACCCTTTAAAGTTATAGTATCAAATAATTATCTATAGCAAGAGTGACTTATTCTTTCTGGAGCACACTGCCTAGGATTTATGCAAGTGGTTGTATCAATTCATTATACTATAAGAAGAATGTGACATTTAAAAGTCTTTAAAAGAACGAGTAAGGTTTATTATTTACTGTTCAGAAACATATTCTGTTACATCTGTTGGTTGACAATGAAAATACAATTACCTACCAACATTTTAATTAATCATTTGACTATATTCCCCTCACATCTGAGGAATAGCCAATGATGAAGTCCTACTAACTCATGTGCTTGTGTAATGTGCAAAAACACTTGACCAGGAATCAAAAAACAAACAAACAAAAAAAACCAAAAAACAAAGACATTAAAAACCCCACCTGAGTTAAATCCACCTTCCTAGCTACAAAAATAACTGAATCTTAAGCCTCTTCAAATCTATCATACAGGGTAATATTGACTTAAGTATAACATTTATTGCTGTATGAATTAAGTAAAACTATATGAAAAAGAACACTTAGAATTATGCCATTCTAAGGTGCTAGAAAAACATTTAGTATCATTAATATTATTACTACCAATATAGAAAGAAAAGAGAGAGGACTGCACTGCTTACGTTATTATTCTGCATGTGTAGTCCCAGAATGAAATGAATGGATTGCAGGGAAGGATGCTGGCTAGCTCCTCTTGCTCTAATTCTTCAGAGCATGGCTTAATATTATTTAGTCAATTCAAATAAAAGACATACCCACATTCAAAGGTAAGTACCCAAAGGCAAATATAAATGTTTTGGAAATTGTTTCACTTTGGATTATCCATGCCTCTGTTTTCCCTCCAATGGAGTAAATATTCAAGAGCTGACTGTATATAAAGAAGTCAGAGAAAACAGATGTACATAAGGCAAAAAGGGAACAGTAAATTACAATCATCAATTTACAGTCAGATAAGTGTTTGCTCACAATGCTGTCCAGCAGCAAAATTTGCTTTGTTGACAGTAGGCTCAGCAATAACAACTTCAAGAAACATCTGGGAACCTGTAGCATTAGGCATTCTAAAAAAGCTGGAGGTACAGACATAAATGAAAGAATAATTCCTGATATCAAAGAGCTTAGCATACAGTTATTAAAACTAATACATATACTACTAGCTAAAAAAGTTCAAATAGCCATACAGTACTGAAATAACCCACTGACCAATGGAATAGTTTAACTGTACTTTTTATGAAGGAATACATCCATCACTGAACTCAAAACACATTTTTCTTTCTAAAAAAGCAGTAAAATCTATAATTAATCTTAATGAAAATCAGAAGTCATTTTCTAACTTCTAGTCATATTTTGTTCCATAGATGAAACTAGGGAGGAGTTAGTTCTACAAATGATAGAATACCATGCATTTGAACGTACTTTTGTTCCAGGGGGAAGTCCTTCTAGTTGTTTGGGTTTTAAAAATGTTCGGTGATGCTGAGTCTTGTGATCCATTTTCTCTTTGCATGTCAAAAACTGCAGCCTGCATTTGGTGCAACGATGTATTCCCTTTTTCTATTATAAAAAAAGGAAAATATTTTTATAGTCATAAATCTTAAGCTCTGAATTTAATTTTAATGATTCTTTAGTATAAAAACAAAAACAAAAAACCAAGATCAAAGAATCATCTCATTTTAAAAACATTTATTGGTATTAGATCTCAAGATTATCTACTATGAGGTAATCAAACATGAAAGTCAACATAGTATTTTAAAAGACAGGCTAAAGGGATGACTTAGCAATTAAAAGCACTGGGTTCTCTTCCAGAGGATCCAGGTTCAATTTCCAGCACTCACATGGTGGTACACAACCATCTATAACTCCAGTTCTAGTGGACCCAACCAAGACATTTTTGTGGCCACCACAAGTGCCAGGCATACACATGGAGTACAGACTTAGATACAAGCAAAACATCCACACATGGCTTTTAAAAGTTTTTTTTAATTCTTTAAATTTTTTTTTAAAAGAACAGACAACTGTTACAATGCTCAGAGCAGTATGTAATAAGATCTTATAGCTCTAGCTTCAACTTAAGGTTAGTTTATAAGCATGGTACATTAGATTGTCTTCACAAATGCAAACAATACAAATCCATTTATTGTGTACTCAAAGAGGATGAATTAAAACAGAAAATGTGGTTAAGAATCAGAAACTAAACAGGTCGGTAAGACAGTTCACATGAGTTTAATGACCAGTAATGTTTTTCTCTATAACTAATATCTCAGTCCATAACTTTAAATACCATATACTCCTGTACCCCTTGTTCACATGAACAGTCAGTGAGCCTCTCAAATCTCTGTCTTTGTCTTTCTCTGTCAGTCTCTCTCTCTCTCTCTCTCTCTCTCTCTCCCTCCCCACTCCCCCCGCCATTGTGGATCAAAATGTGAGCTCTTTGGTGTTCCAGCCAACAAGCCTGTTGCTTGCTTCCTATATTCTTCCATCATGGACTCAACCCTTTGAAACTATAAGCCCAATTAAACACTTTGTAAGTTGCCTTGGTCATTGTGTTTTATCCTTGATGTCTAATACACTTTTCAAATTGGCAGGAATAAAAATGAACTTTAGATTTTATGTCTACTGCCCTGCTTCCACCCTCTCAATTCTGGTCTTCCTTTAGTCTTTTCTGTAGTTTAGAATATGAAACATCCTTGTAACTGCTTAGGACAAAAATACTTATGCCCCCAGACCCCACATACGATATATTAATAAAACCTGTCAAATACATTTTCCTCTTGTTTCCATCTCCAATAATCACTACCACACTGGTCCTCACTGTGATAAATTTTTTAAATTTTCTTTATTTGTGTCCTTTGTTCCCTGTGAAATTTTCATCCCACTGAATGAAGACTTGAAGACCAATCTAGGCTACATGAGATCCTCTTTCAAAAAACAACAGTTATATAAACTGCATTGTTAGTTCTAAAATCAACTGTCATGGAGGCTAGAGATGGCATGGTAGATTAGAACCAGCACCTATATAACGTCTTGCACGTACCTATAGTCCCAGCTAAGTGAGGCAGAGATAGGAGAATCCTCTGAGCTTGCTAGCTTCCAGTCTATCTGAGAAAGTCTCAGTTCTAGGGAAATACCCACCTCAAAGGAATAGGCAGAGTAACACAGGAGAACACACAATGCCCTTTTCTTGCCTCTGTGCAAACATATACCACACGCAAGCACACACATGTACATATACACAAATATATAAATATTAATATCACCTGATATAATGCAATCTTCTCAAGAAAAAATAACATCTAAGGTCCTCAAAAACATTAAAGACACAGAATCAAGTGTTCTTAAGAATCTAATAGCATATTAGTAATATAAATTCAGTTTCAAGGCTATCATCATCTCTCCTAGTTACGGTCTCCAGTTTTTCATAAACACACAAGTTGTAAGTACACCAAAGGGTTGTCCTTCTGATTAACAGCTTGACCCCAATTGGTTTCTGTCTATCCCACAAACAAACAAAGAAATGAAGCCAAAACTTGTGGCAAGTTAAGACAACTCTAATTGTGAAGAGTTAATAAACAACACAGCTTATATTCAGGGTCAATATACCTTGATTATCACTCATTCCTATATCTGTATCTCACTCTAGAAATAGGTGATGTATTTGAGCAAATAATATTAAAAGGCTCATAATAAAATAAGAGATTTCTTTATATACACTCTTCTTTTTTAATTTTTTGAAAATTAAAATCCAAAGATGAAAGACTATGAATAGTGTCTCCTGAACTCTGTTTATAAAGATTCAATAATAGCTATTTCTCTAATAAAGGGTCTGGTGGCCAGGGAAATTGGAAAAGGATGTACACTATGTTTTTGAGAAATTCTACATTAATAGATAAAACTCTTTAATTTTGTAAACCTGGTACTTATCAAATATACCAGTAACAAATTTTGAGGAAAAATCATATGAAAAAACAATCGAACAATGTTTAAGAAAGATTCCAGAATAGATCTTGCTGGAATTTTTCAAAGATCTGCTGAATCACACTCACAATACAGCTGACCCAAAATTTATTGGAAAATTCTTTCATGTTCTCTACCAATTAAAAACACAAGTTAGCTAGGAGGAGGTGCTACACATCCTTAATCCCTGCACGCTGGAAGCAGAGGCAGGTGTATCTCTGAGTTCAAAGTCAGTCTGGTCTGGACAGCCAGTGCTATACAGAGAAGCCTTGTCTCGAACAATCAAAAGCCAAATCAAACCAAAACCCCCACAAGTTAATTTCCTGATTAACTGAACCTGAGAGACAAGTATGTTACAATGGGAAATACCTGGTGTGCAGACACAATAACGTACAAATGCACTGAGCTTTTCAGTGAACTAGCAAAATCTGACAGCACCATTAGATCCAGTGCAGACATGGATGGGTTTCTGATTCCAACAAAAGCACTGCTACTAAAAGACAGGTATCCATGTTGCAGCAACATTTTCAGCTCAGGGGTGGTTTAATTGCTTCAGGCTCTGATTGAATTCAAATACTGACTGAACACTTGTTTCCTTTGTCATTTGACTGTGACACATTTGATCTAGGCCAATAATGACATGTACTATTGTAATACAGTGGTCTGGACAGTGGGGGAAAACCCAAGACAAAGAGATAAAGAAGACTAAGAAATTCTCTATCTTGATTCTTTCAAACTCATTTTTTCACCTTCTCTTGAGAGGGTACTTCAAAATCACTCCCATATACCTAAAGTAACCAATCATTCCCATATTCTATTAGCTTCTGTTCTGTCTCAATCCTATGATTTCTATTTCTTGCCATCTTTAAGACTTGTCTCTGGGCAGTGGTGGCCCACGCCTTTAATCCCAGCACTTGGGAGGCAGAGGCAGGCGGATTTCTGAGTTCGAGGCCAGCCTGGTCTACAGAGTGAGTTCCAGGACAGCCAGGGCTACACAGAGAAACCCTGTCTCAAAAAATCAAAAGAAAAAAAAAAAAGACAGCTTGTCAACTGTTTATAGACCAAGCATCACTAGAAAAGAAGTAAGGAAAGAAATGGAAGTTTCAGAAGTGATTCAGTATACACTTCATATGTGGATCAAGTCCACTCCCTTTGAAAACCAAACAATATTCTAAGTGATAATCAAGTAACATGAAAAAAATTAAAATTATTAACCTCACCTGATGCTTCATGTAATGATGCATATAGGGTGTGGCGATTTTAATAACTTTGAGGCAGAATGGACATAGCAAATTCTTAGTGTTTTCATGCGATGTTCTAAAATGAGACTCTACCTCAGAAAATAACGATGATCTGTAATTGCAAACCTAGAAATAAAAAGGTTATGTTTAAATGGAAATTTTGTAATTGATTTGCAACTACAAGTTAACAATGTTTGATCATCTGTTAGATTAGTAATATCAATCTAGCTCTGATGCCTATGCATGTAAGAAGTTCACTAATGTAGACACCAAAAAGCAGAAAAAGGTGATCCTTCAAAGCTAAAGACTGCTTCCCAAAATTTAATAGGTGCCTTCATTTTTATCAGATTATTTCTATATCACCCCATTCTGACTTGATTTGAAACTTTAGAACCTTCTGTCCTATAAAATACCTTATTTCTACATAAAATAGCACTGTCCATCAGATTATAAATACAGATTATAAATTATTACAGTAGCAATTCATCTTTTTCTTGCTTTTCAACGCCTTCAAATTCTGAAGAAATCCTTATCCCAAAGCACTTGATAGGGCTCTGCATAACTAAGCATGTGTACCCTGGTCATGTGGCTATAGTGTTCTGTCTAGGGTAAAGTAAGTAAATCCACTCCACTTTTCAGTCAGGGATCTTCTCTTTCTAGCGCTTGGGAGCAAACAGCATTTTCTGAGCCAACTCTAGTTCGCTGTCTTCCTCTCATATAATGTATTAGTTGTGCTAAGAGATGTCTACACTAGAAAATTAAATAGGAGGGACTTTGATTTTAGTTACCATTTTTACCTAAATGGCAAAACCAAAACAAACACCACCAATATATTTCACTACACATGAAAATTATATGAAACTCAAAATTTGAGATCCATAAGTTTTATTTGAACACAGATACATCCATTCAATCCCTTACTGTCATTGCTAACTTGCCACAATGAAGAGTTGACTAGCTGTGATAGACAGTCACATCTCTAAAACTAAATGCTTACCATTTAGTCCTTCAACTAAAAGAAAAAAATTGCTAACAACTTATCTAATAGCTACAAATCTTAACACCAAAACAACAACAGTTAGTAACACTATAAAACATGATGTACCTGGCAGATGTATGGCATTTCACCAGGTTTATGATTATCCTTCATATGCTGTAAAAGAATCTGTTCAGTTTCAAACGATAGCTCGCAGATTTTACAAATGGCTATAGATGGAAGGAAGAAAGTTATTGTAACATTTTAATATATAAATAATGAAGGCTCATTTTGGATAACAGTTTCAACACGTGTATCAGCAGAAGCGGCATTCTCAGAGGTGGTGAGCAGTCCTACACATACGTAACTCAGTGCAACTCCTCTTTTAGCACAAAGGCATGTCTGTTATCCTGCTGTCTCAGTACCAAATAACTCGCCTGAACTCAGGTAGCTACTATACCAAGACACACATCTAGAATTGAACTGATACTTAGAGTAAGGTAGCTTTTGCAATTTTGACCCAAAATCCAAAGTCTATTTCTTGTTCTTCTTTCTGTTAGAGATTTTTCATTTGACCCTGAAATACCGTGTAACTAACTCACTTGAGAACTCATGAGGCGTGTGCGTGCTCTCAATGTGGCACTGCAGCTGGAAAGGCGTGGGGAACTGCCGATAGCAGTGCTGGCAAGTAGTGTGCTTTTCCCAGCTCTCACTGCTCTGTTTCTCCAGTTCCAAATGGTGTTTCATGTGGTTCATAAACCTGCAAATGGCACCAGGGGAAAAGACTCAAATTAAAACTCAAAGAAAATCCCACCAATATCTGAACTGAATATTTAAAAAAAAAAAAAGTGAATTATTACTCAAAACCTAGAGTCCTTCTCTAGGAAAAGTGCATGACCTAAATAATGACCCAAAATGTCTAAGATGACACTTTTTTTCCATCTTTGTTTCAAATGTCACTACTTTCAGATGACTGTTCTTAGATAAAATAAGTCTTCTTTGCCATGTGAAGTACTATTTACATTTTTAAATTCAGTATTGAAAGAAAGAGAATCCTATCAGCAAAAGTAGCTAGTCATGGGAGAAATTGTTTAAGATCCTGAAGATATACAATAAATTCTAGCTGCTAGTATTTTTACTTGTATCTTTGTTTTTAAGTGCATATACTAACAGTTTTAATGCCTACAAGTACAAGAACTTTTCACTTAGTTATACTGATTATTATTAGCATAAACTGTTCATTTTAACTTGCAGACTGTGTCCTTTGTAAGGCAATCTCCATTTTTCAGTTTTACACTTTGCTATTTCAGCATCCCTACAAGGTTTCTTATTTGCAGAACTATGACCCTCAGTAAAAGTGTGCTATAAATGGGAATACCTATTTTAAAAAGCTTACTGAAGCTTTTGGCTGAAATAAAAAGTATTATTACTTGATCAAAAGAATTTTTAGACTGGGTCAATGAAATTAATACATTTATTAATAAAATCATCCAGCTGGAGGCTTCAAAGGAAATAAGCATGAAACAACATGAAAATGTTACCAATCCAGAGAATAGACATCATGAAAGCTGTGACATCTATCTCTTTTTCCTATCTCTAACGAACAATATCTCCTCAAAGCAAATTGTAATACACTTTGAAGTATCTTTCTCCCCCCTTTGGTTTTAACATGAGCTCTATAAAACACAGAAAACCCTAGTTTTGGTTATATATTTACATAAAGGCAAAACATCATGAGCCAGTAAATTTTGAGCTCACCCCTTAAATCACTAAAGTATATTTATTTATTTATTTTTATAATTTTTATTTATTTATTATATGTAAGTATACTGTAGCTGTCTTCAGACACCCACAAGAGGGCATCAGATCTCATTATAGATGGTTGTGAGCCACCATGTGGTTGCTGGGATTTGAACTCATGACCTCTGGAAGAGCAATCAGTGCTCTTAACCACTGAGCCATCTCACCTGCCCCTGAAGTATATTTAAATAAAGTAATGTATTAACTAGTTGGTTGATTTCTCTCAATGTTTACATAAGGCCTAATTGGAATGCATAGTTCTCAAGACAAAATATGGGATTTACAATGACCTGGTTTTAGTGATACCCAATAGGGAAGAAAACAGTAACGAAAAATCTGTATGAGAAGTCAAGTGGAAATCTTGATAGGTTTTCTACTGTTATAAAAATTATAAACAATTGCAAGGTCAGGAATAGTTGCACATACCTGCCCTAGCACTTCAGCATCAAAGAAGGTAGATCTCTGGGTTTTGTTTGGGCCTGCCAAGTCTATATAGTGAGATCTTATCTCAAATACAAAAGCAAAATAACAAAAAAACCAATTTGCCTTCCCAAATTTTACTGACAAAATACTATATCTTTAATTCCTTTGTCACAAGTTATTTACCATTAAGGGTATTTACCATTTCCCAAGTAATAGCTTTCAATGTTCAGTTTCTCTATGTTACTAAAGATAATAGGCTTAACTGTTCTAAATATTCTAATAACATAAACAAATGGAATGTCCTAAAATAATTCCTAGGGAATGTTATTCTTCATGTTGAATATTAAATGGGCTAATCTTAAAAGTAAAAGACAAAACACATTTTGCTAAAATAAATAGCAGTATGTATATTTAACAAGGAATTTAACAAAGACAGTGAAACCCACTTGTACACATTTAACCTATCTCCAGACTGAATCTTATAACAGTAAGAATATGGGACTAGGCGGTGGAGGTCTACTTCAATGCTACTTCAGTATTACATCCAAAACACAAATTTACTGGAAGCACTAGTTCTTGAAGGACTGAAGCAGTGTAAGAGCTCTGGAATGACAAAGAAGCCTATGAGCATCACTTTAGCAACAAGCCACATCAGACAGAAGTGAATGAACTCAGGAGCCCGAGAGAGAGAACTGCTGGTGTACAAATTGCTAATTTGGAAAGGTTTTTAGTAACTGTAAAAGATATGCACGTGCATGTGTATTTGTATACAACAATTTGTCTTTTTAGAGATCGAGTTTTGAATGTTTTAATTATATTCTCACCCTTTCTCCAAACTTGACCCACATCCACTCCAAAAGTACAACTTATATTCTTAAAAATCAATTTTTACCAACAGCTTAATTAATTTTTAAAACTCAGCTTGTTTAAAGGACAAACAATGAAACAAGTAGAGTAAAGTGGTGCGGGGAGAAGCAAAGGGCAAGGGTGCAAGGTGAAGCTCCCAATTTTGTGATGAATGTTTGAAAGTTTTTACGAGAAAGGGTAGAAAAAAGTGTTATCTAACAAAATATAAACTTTAGACTATATAATAAATGAAAACCATCATTTAGTTTTCTTACAGGTGATATTTTTATAGCATATGCCTCTAGAAGGTTATAAAGTATAAATTTCTAAAATTTAAAACATTTTAAAATTCCATTGAGAATGAAATATTTAATCTTAATTTCAAATTAAAACACACATGTCTCTTGGAATTAGTTCATCACTGATAAAGAATACATTTCCTATAAAATACATATTAGAAACATGATAAATATAAAGCAGATCTGATCATTAAATAGTATTAATAAGGAAGAGGTCAACCTGCCAACTTCTCAAGTCCTTTTTGTATTTGAATATAATTTTTTCACAATATAAGATATAAAAAAATCGGGCTGGAGAGATGGCTCAGTGGTTAAGAGCACTGACTGCACTTCCAGAGGTCCTGAGTTCAAATCCCAGCAACCACATGGTGGCTCATAGCCATCTGTAATGAGATCTGATGCCCTCTTCTGGTGTGTCTGAAGACAGCTACAGTGTATTCATATATAATAAATAAATAAATCTTTTAAAAAAGATATAAAAAATCAAAATACACAATTAAACTCCTAGATCACTATCAAAAGTTAAAATAAGACATTTTGTTTCAAATTAAACTCTGTTCTTTCTTCAGCCATATGAAAGACACAGCAACAGATTTAAGAGACTGACAATACAACAAAGGAGACAATACTGGAACTGCTCCTCTAGGATGACAAGAGTGTATAATAAAGACACAACGGTTACATCTCTAGTATTTCCACTTTCATTGAAATAAAAACACATATTTACATACCTAATATTATTTTTGAGAACTTTCAAGCAACTGAAGCACTTAAAGGTTGTATGAGTCTTCTGTTCTTCCTGGACGTCTCCTTCATGTTTTCCATAATAAAAGTCATTAACTAACATTATCAATTTTCCTTTCTCTGAATCAAGAGTCTTAGCTTCATTTGCTGAATTTAAATTGTCTGTTTTAGTCAATCCCAAAAAGTTATTTATCATGTCTGGACAGCAATACTAGAAGAGAAAAAAAAAATGCCTTATGTATTATAACAGCAAAAACAATTTTATGTTTCCAACTACAGCCAAACCATGTACAACTATGCTTGATAAGATATCTGGAAGAATAGTGAAAGCCTATGGTAGATATTCTAAAAAGTTAAGAAAAGTAGACATTTTTTAAAAAGTAGACTATTTATTTGTTTAGTGTATGTGTTATGTATGGGTGTGAATGCCACAGTGCACTTGTGGAGGTCAGAGGACAACCTGCGGACGTCGGCTCTTTCCTTCCACCACGTGGGTTCCAGGGATTGAACTCAAGTCGTCAGGTTTGGCGGCAAGCACCTTTAACAGCTGAGCCATCTCGCCAGCCCATAAACATTATCTTAACAAAACAAAAATTTAAAAAGAGATGAAAAAAGCCTTAAAACTAGGATTTGGCTATTTAAACTTTCCCATGCAATTTACCTGCTTAGATACATGTTTAATAGTCATTTGTTTCTTAACCAAAATCATTCATTTCATTACCATGTCAACAATACAGGAAGAAGGTGAATGTCACATGCTTTGATGTATCAGTTATATGAAAACTTCCTAAGTTGGTTAAAACTAGATTTTTCTACAGCTAAACTGTGTATTACTTCTTAGTAATAAAAGTAAAGTCACGCTGAGCAGTGGTGGCGCACGCCTTTAATCCCAGCACTTGGGAGGCAGAGGCAGGCAGATTTCTGAGTTCGAGGCCATCCTGGTCTACAGAGTGAGTTCCAGGACAGCCAGGGCTACACAGAGAAACCCTGTCTCGAAAAACCACAATAAATAAATAAATAAATAAATAAATAAATAAATAAAT